GGAAGCCGAGCCACCCTGTCCTCTGCTCCCACCCATGGCTGCTTGCCCCTGGGACATGAGGGTAGCAAGGCTCCCCATGGACATCCAGGCCCCCTACAGGAAAGTTCCCTCTGTGTAGCCATAGATGACCTTGCTCAAAGCACACTGCCATAGTCTGAACTGAGGCCTTCGGTGTTGGCTCACAGACTAGGGCTAGGTTTCATGCATACCGTCTCCAGGGATGACTGCCCTTGCTTTTCTTCACAGCTGGACCAGCTGTGAGCACCATGCATCCACCAACCCGAGCCTTAGGCATGACCCTGCAAGACCCGCAGGTGGAAGAGACCCCAGGAGGAACTGGCGAGAAATACACCTTGACTGCCTGCATGCGCTCTAATGGAGTTTCGAGCGAGAAGACCAGGAGCAGCTCACTGACCTGGAGGAGTGCGATTTTGATCAGCAGCTGTCCCAGTAGCAAGAGATGCTGTGCACTGTTTCCATAGCACTGTGGAGTGCCTGCTTGCTGCCACTGAGTGCTCCAGTGGCCACCCTCCAGCACCCACTTCCTCCCCCCCACCAAGTCCCTCCAACACCTGCACCCGTCCCTGCCCTTGTCCCCTCTGGCTGCTTCTTCTAGCAGGCCTGAGGCAGGCCTCAGCCCCAAGTTTCTCTGCCCCCCACTCCTGCCTCCTCCTCGGTTCTTTCAACAGTCCCTCTCCAGTTGTATAGTTTCCAAATAAAAATCACTGAGTTTATTGTTCCAAAACAAAAAGTTTGGTTTATTTTATCTTTGGGGTGGGGCAAGTAGGAAAGGGAAGGGTGTCGAAGGAAAGGCACTTCTTGTGGGGAGGCCCCGGAGAAAGTCTTACAGATGGTCTTAGCTGAAACTCTCCTTCAAAGCCTCCTGGATGTGCACTGCCCCCTGATGGGCCTACCGGATGGCAGCGGTACGTACGCTGCCTCTGCCTCCCACCCTGGCAGGAAAGTCTCCCCCTTGTTCTCATACATGGTGTGGAAAACACGGCAGGTTGCCACCATCTGAGGGATGTTCCAGTTGCTGAGGTCCAGGTAGTGAGGACACTCTGGAATCTCTCTCCGAGGCAGCCAAAGGCACCCTTCCCAACAATGAAGCATCTGTTGAGCCTGGTGTCCCATGTAGGGCTTCATTAGCCATGGGAACAAGGGGTAGATGGGCATGTCAATGTCCCCATCCTGACTGTGTGGAGTGGGGAAAATGTGCAGCATCCTCTGGAACAGGCTGGAGTTCTAGAATATGCAGGAGTTATGTGCCTTCCCCGACCACCTGATGTTAATGTTAAAAGGGCCTGCAGGACCATTGAAAATTACCCCTTCCTATTTATATAGTTGGAGGCCTGGTGGTTGGGGACCAAGATGGGGGTATGGGTGCTGTCAATGCCCTCCCCCCCACACAGTTGGGGAAGCCTATCATGGCAAAGCCATCAATGATGGCGTGGACCTTGCCCAGGGTGATGACCCTCCACAACAGCACAACAGGATAGTGTTGATGGCCCTCATCATCTGTAAAAACATAGACACACAGAATCACATGGTTGCAGGAGCCTTCAGGAGGTCCCTGAGCCCAAGCCCCTTCCCACAGCAGGAACAACCCCAATTACTCCATCCCAACAGGGCTTTGTGAGGTTAGGATGCAAAACCTCTAGGGACAGAGATTCCTCCCTCCTCCCTAGTGAAACCATTGCAGTAGTCCACTGCCCTCTTGGGACAATAGCAAGGGAGTCATACCCACATAAGCATGGCTCCAACGGTCCATCTTCCCATGCTGAACTGGTTCCCCACAGAGCGGTAGCCAATCAGCATAGTGAGCTTCCACAGTGCAATGGTGATGCACTTCTGGCACAGGATGGCATATCGCATACAGGTTTCCTGTCACTGGAGGGCAGGGATAAGCCATTCGCAGAGCTCCAGGAAGGTGTCCTTCTGCATGCAGAAGTTCTGGATCCACGACTGGTCATCCCCCTGCTCCATAACAATATGGTCCCACCAGTCGGAACTAGTGTTCCTGCACTAGAAGCGACAGTGCATGGTGTGCTGGGGAGATTGGAGGAAACTGTGGAGTAGGAGGAGGGCCCAGGCCAGGGTGAGGAGATGCCCCAATCTGAGCTGGCCCTCCTGGTCCTGCAGTGCCATGAGGGAGGCCTGCATTAATTGCCCCAGGAGGTGCAGCAGGAAATCTGAGCCTGACACTGCTTTGCAGCATGTCTGGCTCCATGGTAGAAATGCTGTGGCATCCAGAAGGGCAA